GGGGGAGGGGGATTGCGCATCAACTATTAGCAGTTGGCCGAGCGGCACATGGAGTTGCACTCGTCTACTAGCCAGGTGGACGAGACAACAGATGAAATTGCTCATTACGTGAAGTTGGTTCTTGTAGCACTAAAATTGCACCACACAATATTATAGTTGATTGTGGTAGCACAAAAGTTGGTTTAAAAAATAGTTGCATCTCATAGTATAAAATTTGCAACATCTAGTACAACCAGTTGGCAATGAAAAAAGTACTCGTCGCGAGGGTTCCAACGATGAAAACGGATTTTAATTTCAACATGTAATTCGAAAGTTATAGTTTTTTGTATTTTTTGAAATGCAATTAATTGTCTTTTTTGCTTTATTACTGGCACATGGAGGAGCACATGGAAAAGAATTTGGGCCAGCGTGAAGGCGAGTGCATTGGAGGATGCTTTTCGATTTTGGTCTTGCAGGGATCAAGCGGACTTTCCTAATCAGGAGATGGGACATAAATTTTTCTAATACAACCGGCTGCCGAGGAGCGCTAGCGAGCGCACGGCTGCTCGCTAGAAGCATCCCAAAATAAATGGAGGACTATAGTTGAGACAATTATTTTTGGACAAAGGGTAACTCATATACATATTAAAAAATGTCCACACGTCATTGAAAATTGTACGCACATTTTTATAAAATTGTTCTTGTAATTTTAAAATGTCCACACACGTATTGTAAAAATGCATCCATATTTTTATGTTAAAATCCAAAAGAAAGAACTAAACCGGAGTAAACCGAGAAAACTATAAAAGGTAAAATGAAAAAACCGGGTGGAGGCAGCCCAAAAATGAGCGTCCCCTGAGGCTGAGGATGTTCCCTAAAAAAAACCTTTCTGCATATCATTGCTGCAGGTCGCAGGCGCCGCCATCCCCTGCGGCGACCCCCTTACCCCTCCCCTGCTCCGACGCCGGCCACCACACCAGCACTTTCGTCCTCCTTCATCTCCTGTGACACCCCCACCCCACCCCTGCCGTACGTCGCCGGCCACCGACACTCTCCCCCGCCGCCATCCCCTGCGACCGCCCCCCGCCGCACCCCCGTCCGCCGCCTGCCACCACCACTGTCCTTCGTGGCCCAATGGCTTAGTTGGGCTATTATGGGCACCTACTCCGCTGCCTGGGCTATTATGCCTGGCTACGTTTTGGGCGGAATAATTTCGAAGGAGTTGGAGGCCGAAGAAGAGTTGATTTCCTTGTGCAGTACTGGTTGTGAGGAGATCCGTTGCGGTTTGTGCAGGCAGCGCAGTTCAAAAGGAGTAATTTTTATATTCCTAGCTTGTCTGTTGAGGAGGTATAATCCGGATCTTCCTCCTTTCAGGATTTGTAACTCCGGCCTAAATAAATAGAGGAGCCGTTGTCACAGACCCGATAAGATCAAACTGATCAGCCTAGGCGTTCCGAAATCAATCAAGGCCAGTTGCTCATCCGATCAGCCATGAAGAACAAAAGTGGTCGCCGAAGACGCAATGTAAGCTTTTCTCTCTTGCGCTTGATGTTTCTCCTTCATGTAAGGCTCATCCTCAAAAGGCTGATTGTTTACTGTTCCAGCAAAATGCGCACCAAAAAACAACTCGAAACAAAGCCGCTGCTGGCGATGGGAACGAAGACATGCTTAGCAAGCTGCCCAACGACCTTTTGCTCAACATTTTGGAGAGGGTGGACACGCTAGACGCGATAAGGACCTGCGTCCTATCCAAGCAAATGCTGAAGCTCCCCACCATGTTCTCTCGGTTCTTCCTAAGTGTCAGTTCCATTCCAGCCTACCATGACAAAGCTCGTGTGTCCAGCCTCAGCGTCAGCGACATGCTCCGAACCAACAGTGCTCTGGCTCATGTAACGGATAACATCTTGAGCACAAGGAGCACGGAGGTCGCCATCAGCAAACTCAAAATCAGATTCATTCTGATGCAGCGTGACTCCTTAGTCATTGGCAACTCTGTTGCCCGCGCCATGGCAACCCAGAAGGTTGATGCAACCGAGTTTGAGATTGTGACAGAGAAGGCTTATAAGATCTGCTCTTCTGATGATCTCCTCCAGTACGGGAAGCAATTCAATGATTTTATCGGTGCTTGTCCGGATGCATTTGCCGGCCTTAGGTGCCTCTGGCTGCGTAATATGAGGTTTGGTGAACTAGACATCCCCAACATCCTGAGCACTTGCAAGCTCTAGGAGTCTTTGCGCTTAACCCATTGCGACTCAAGGATCCATTCCGTGGTGCAAGTAGAGCATGCTCGACTTATTGAGCTCGAGGCTGACAATGGGAAATTTGAGAGAGTTGAGCTCACATGTCTGCCAAAACTCCAACAAGTGACCTATAATAATTGGTTCTCTTATGAAGATCCCATGTATTTTGGTTTTGTGCCACAACTTTCAAAGCTGAGCCTTATTAAAACTGGCTCCCGTTTGCAAAAGACCCTTGAGTTAAGTCAGTTCCTTGTTAATGTTCCTTCCATAAGCGATCTCCATCTGGATTTTAGAAGTGAAAATATTTGGGTTATCTCAGAAAGCCCGGAACTGCTCACCCCTGTGCTCAGCAAACTACAGCTTGTGAATTTGGATCATCTTCCCAAAGGATGTGATTTAGCTTGGACAATGTTTATTCTTGAAGCTGCGCCCTCCATAAAAGAGCTGTGCATTACAGTATGGGATCATTGCTGCATAATGTTCACAGGCACAGAGTTCCGGAAGGAAAATGGTTTGTGCGACAAGGCAGACCTGAAGTGGAAGCCATATGCCCCTGGTTTCAAGCACAAGAATCTGGTGAAGCTCACCACCTATGGCTTCCAGCCCGACGACAACTTTGTGCGATACATCACGTGTCTCGCGGAAGCTGCGGTTAATATGGCAGAGATATCTCTGCACGACCGGAAGGTGTGTGGGCGCTGTGATGACTTGGATCTTGAGGTCAAGGTCAAGGTTTGTCCATCGAGATATCCGCGGACCGCTGAGGAGAAGAGCCAGGTAACTGAGGTGTTGGGTTTGGCTTCGCGGGCTGTAGTTCACTTCCGGTCCTAATTGAAAAATGATTTACTATGAAGAAACCTTCAGTTGAAGCTTGTACCAAGTGTCTAAGACTCAAGTTGCGAAATCTGTACTCTTGCTTTCCCTTCAGTTGAAGCTTGTACTATCGCCTAATCGAGGAAATGTTTATCAAGTCAAAAGGTATCTGTGGCACCTTTTTTTAATGTTAAAAACCAAGCGATTGATGCAGTTGAATAAGTTGGCGTGTTTCAAAAAAAAAGAAAAAGAAAAAACAGCGATAACAGTACATTGTTTTTTTTGAGAAATTAAAGTACATCGTTTGGTACCTAATCTTTATCTTTATATATATATATAACAGCGATAACCTATTTTTATATAATAAAGCAAATTAGGTTTCTGTCGTCCGTCACGCTTTTTTGCAACCTCCATGCCCGGCCTCGCCCGCCTCCATGCCCCGCGCCCTCGCCCGCCCAGCTCCGCTCGCGCCACCGCCGGCCGCGCCCTCGACCGCCTTCATGCCCGGCCTCGCCCGCCTCCATGCCCCGCCGTGCCAGGTCGCGCCCGCCATCCCACACCCTCGCCCGCCCAGCTCCGCTCGCGTCACCGCCGGCCGCACCCTCGACCGCCTCCATGCCCGGCCTCGCCCGCCTCCATGCCCGGTTTCTCCCGACGCGGAACTGGCAGAGGACGATAGGAGACCGGCGTGCTCTCGGCAAGGCATCACGGCACGCCCACGGCACGCGAGGGCTCTGCGACGAAGGAAACAAAAAGAAGGGCAATAGAGAGCAGAGGGTTGTGCGTCTTGGAACCTCGCTAGCCCACGCTCAACAAAGACCTAGAGAACCTCCAGTTGAGCAGGGCAGAGAGATGGCCGGCAACGGCTTCGCGGCCGAGCTGGGCAGAGGCAGCTGCGTGGCCCACGCAACGGACAAACGGGCGCTCCTCTCCGGCGTCCTCCTCCCGTCGGCAGGCGAGGCAGGAAGGCGGCGGATTCGATTATCACGGCGCAACCTCCCTACTCCTCCAGCTCGCGCGTGGCCGTGTGCGTCGCGGCCGGAGATGGAGACCCGACTGCTGGCCGGGAGGGAAGGCACAGCAGTCGGAGAGCATGGCCGACGAGCTGCAGCCTGAGGCGCTCGGCTTGGAGGCAAGGTCGAGCTGGAGAGGGGAGAGAGCCCAGCGAGCGGGGAGGCGAAGCCGCTTGCGGGTGTAGAGAGAGGGAGCGCTGGGGAAGGGAGCGCTGGCTGACGGGGCTCTTGAAAGCGAGAGGAGAGAGGAGAGGGGAATCGAGGAAGGCAAGCGGTGAGATCTCAGGCAGAGGTTGGAGAGGAGCGGCCTGGGGCTTATCCCCTTGCGTGCGTGTGTGGCTGGGGTGCGTGCGTGTGTGGCTGGGCCTTGGCGGTGTGGCCGGCTGGGCTTCTTTTTATTCTGATCTGGATGCAGCTGAGACCAGCTGCGGGCAAAGCAAGGCGTTGATGAGCCAACCAAAATTATGACTGATCAGCCACCAGCACTACTTTACGTATTCACCTCACATTTTTTCACTGCACCACAATGTGAAATCTCTGTGAATCTTGTCATTCGGTGTATGTGTGTGTGGATTTTTTTAGTGAACTAACCAGCTAACCACACTGCTTGGTAATATAAAAAAATTGTGCTAGCACATGCATTCACATCATAATTGCTCAATCCATACAAACTTAATCTGCTATCCGGCAATAAAAAAAACTCTAAAACAGTAGATTAAATAAAAATAAATTATAGAAAGTCTAAAAGAGTTCAAGCCCGTTCCGCAGCCCATGACGACATGACGCCAACCAAACACCACCACTACAATGGCAAGCGCAAGGTAGCAGAAGTCGTCGTTCACGCTGTTCAAGCGACACACCAAAGAGCGCAATGCCGCGTTGCACGTGCCATTGCACCTATTGTAATGCAGGCTGCTCACATGGATGATGCGTCAGTCGTCATACAAGCTATCAAGCCCGCCGACGGATGCTCCTCCCGTGGCGGCCGGTCACGACAAGTCGGGTAAGGTCGAGGGAGACGCGGTTGCTCAATGGGACGTAAACGCCGACCGAGGAAATGCCTTCGATGGATGAGATGGTCGAGGCCATTCGATCTACGACGTTAGCATCCATGTGGTCCCTACCTTTGATGGCGAGCCATCTACATCGATTCACATAAATTTATGACATGCACCACCAGCTTAGGTGGGAAGAAGGGCAAGCAGCAAAGATAGTCTTGAGCAATGCTTATTGGGGCTTATGATAAATTTCTTCTCCCGTTGCAACGCACGGGCATGTTTGCTAGTAACAACAAATGGCTAACTGGGCTACTGCCTACTGGCCTATAATAAGATCACCCTGTGCGATTCCTCGACCACCAGCCATCGGTGGTCTGCCTGCCCTCCGAGGCCTCAGTTTGATTGCGATCAAGGTTTTGGTTATCGAATGAGGCAATTTTACCGAGGAGGACTGGTAAATATGGTTACCACGGTTACCGAGAAATACTGAGAATATTTCGAGCGGATTTTATAGTTAAATTTTGAATTCAAATAAGTGAACGAACGAACATTCGAACCAGAGACCTCTCAAAACAGAAACTAGGTTGCTACCAACACGCCAAAAACCAACTCTCATGGCATTAATTAGATCCTACGTATTTTACTGTAAATCGAGTGTTTAAATTAAAAAAGTTCAAACAAATGGTATTTTTTGCTCGGTATGGCGATTTACCAGGGGCACGGAAGTACGTGGTAACCATGAAAAATCTTGAAATTTCAACCGGTAACCAAAACCTTGGTTGGGATGCGGGCCAGGCTGTCGTTCTGTTGCTGGCTACTAAGATTGTCCAAGATGGCGCATCCTAACCGGCCTGTGCGCGTCGTTCTTCTGCTCAAGACCTCCTCCGGCATGCCTGCAGGTCCCCTTCGCCTCTGACTGCTCTCTTTCCGTTGGGACGCTGGTCGGGCTGTTGTTCCATTCTGCCACCAGAATCCAAGATCGTCTAGGAAGGCACAACATACGAGGCCTTTGCGTGATGTTGCTCTGGTTCGCGGCACAAGATAACCTTTCATGTTCCACAAAGACTTTCACCTTTGGGAGTGGTAGGTCAGCTTATCAGTTGAGCACCTCGGCGCTTACGTATGAATAGCACTGTTAATATGCTTCCATGTGCTCTGTAATCCAAATTCAGTGGGAAACACGTAATTCGAATTCAGTGGGAAGGCCGTGGCAGAGGATGGCCTAACTCCCGGTGTCTGGGGCACCTTCGCCTCTTTGTCAGGCTGCAGGTCGACAACTCTGTATGTTGATAATAGAGTTTCATTTTGGAGGTATGTTGATAGGCCATTCTATTATGATTTTCAATGTCTACATCTGTTCATCCATCCCGCCACACATATTTAGTTTTGTTGTTCTTTTGTTTGGTTCTAAGCCTCAGCTTTTCGAAGAAAGGAATCACAAGTTAATAATATTGTGATGTACTCCCTCTGTTGCAGAATATAAGAACGTTTTTTACACTAGACTAGTGTAAAAAACGTTCTTATATTATGAGACGGAGGAAGTAGTTAATATTACTAATTTGGGAACTTCAGTGTGTAATTGGTGCTTTGATTACCTCTCAGTTAATCTTTCATAAAACATATTAGTAGCTCCGAAGACTGACATTTATTGCTTGGTGGCTTTGCTTTCAGTAGTACTCTTCATGAATCATCCCTTCCCAGTTTTGTAAACTCCAAGATAGCCATTAACACCTGATTCTATCAAATTAGTGGTTATGTGCTATTTTTAAGATTCAATTTATGGAGTGTTTAGTTGACGGTTCAACGACTTTTTGGGATTATATTCTGACACAAGTTTTATTCTAGCATGTCCAATATTCATTATCACATTAATCATGCATTTCAATTGTTGCAAGCCAAGTAAAAATATTATGGATGATTTTCTTTCATTACATTTGATCCATTTACCAGGCCGTGTATTTGACTACGGTGTTATCATCTTATGATGTACTGTCATTTTGCATACCTCATGTGTGCCCATATGCTTTTATCTGTGTTTATTCTAAGAAAAATTACATCTACATGCGAACTGGCCAACATATTATGTTGCTATTTATACTTTGATACTTCCTTCAACAAAATAATTGGATCAGATATATGATGACCAGGTATTTTATCTTGGTAGGTTTTGTAGATATGTAAATTTGAGCTGCAACATTGCAAACTAACCTTCGTGTTGGTATATTTTATTTGCAGGTTGTTACAACTAAGAGTGAAACCAGCCTGAATGGTAAATGTTTGAACCTTTTTTGCACCCATTCAACTGCCCATGTATTTATAATGTTTCCGGTTCTTGCAAGTCTCAAATAACTTTTTAACAGAGATCTCTCAAACTTCATGTGTCATTTTGTTGTAGGTGATGAGCTAACAAGTGTGATCACCTTATCATATGATAGTTCTGAAGTCCACTAGGGTAAAATAAAGTGAACCTGTGATGAGAGAGATATGACTTAGCACCTAGCCTAATTAATTATATCCAGCATTATACGTTCTACTGCCAAATTCTCATTCGTAATTTTTGTTTTGATCAAGAAAGATTGTTTAATCATCCAATATATTAACACTTTGATCCTGGGTATTCCTTTCAAATTTGTTTTTTGGCCAAAGCAATATAACAGAACAATAAACGTACACTAAGATGGAAATATCAATGACTCAATGACCATACATCGATAAAAGTAGCAAAATATCATTGTGGCAATATCTGTAGCAATTAAGAACAATTTCAAAAACGCACATAAATCATTGTGGCAATACCTCTAACAGCCATCAGAACTGAAAGCTCACATAGTATGGATGTAGAACTTCTTTTGCTTGCCTTTGAAGATTTGTCCCACAATTCAAACAGGCTAACATCCTTCTTCTTCTTTATCTGACTTTTGTGTCAAACATAACATTATATTGCCTAACATGGATGATACAATACCAGCTCGGGGTCGTTCAAGGGTGCGTGGTGGTCAAATGGTAACTTTCTATCAACGCTTCAGATATGAAATATTCAATGTTCTGCTTGACCAAATAATTACCGAGTTAAATAACCGCTTTGCTGAGTTGAGGAATAAGATGGGT